ACAAAGGACTGCAGGAAAGATTTTAAGTAATCTTGCCATTTTAGGCTTAAATGCAATATTCCAGGTGTTATTTGCAATACAGAACTTTTTGAGTAATTCTAGCTTTTAAAAATTAGTGAAGTTCTTTTAACATAATTGGTGACAATGTCACACAACGGATGCCATTGAAAACATCAACAGATATAGCTTGAGGTTGTGAGCACTCTACTGCAAGACTTAATAGTTCAGTATAAATTGTCATTTGTCTCTTGTGCTGAGTAGCCATATAAGCATGATCTTGTTAACGCATTTTTGATGGGAAGAAAAGGAACTTGTTTACCAAGAGGTTTAATGAAAAGAATGAAAATTGACTTCTTGCTTGTACGTATAGGGGCAATACTGTTATATTAGTTAGTCTGTTAACACTACTTCAAAGTTTAGGGTTTTCTCTTGGTTGTAGATTGGCTCAGAATTGCATTCTGAATAAATAAATAAAGGTTAAAAAGAAAATCCCCAGGATGCGTATTTTAATTCTCTATGATTTTTGGTCTAGAGTTGTGGTCTTGTGATGGAAAAAAAGCATTCCCTTAATAGTGACTTCTCATTTGTTCATCCTCTACACTTTAGAATTTATTAAGTGCTTGCTGTATGCCAAGCATTGTGAAGGCTCTGCCCTATGTATCTTATTGTGGTGGACAAAAGTTCTGATTCCATGGATCTTATGGGTCAGTTGCGGACACAGACTTTTAATCAATTACACACAAATTAATATGTAATTATGCATTTTGATGAGTAAAATGACAGGACAGAACTGGGTGTGGAGAGAAAGAATGATGGAGAGACTTAGATGAGACAAAATGAGGGGAGTCAGGGATTACATGTTACTGTATGTAACCCCACACCCAAAATATTAGTGGATACGAGTGATGCAAAGTGACTGAGTGTGTAGGGTGCGTGTGTGTAATGGTGGGGGCGGCGGCACGGTTGGTCGATGCCACAGGAAAAGGGTTTTGTTAAAATCGTCCTAAATGTCGTGCCTTAAACACAGCAGAAGTGTATTTCTTGCTCAGGTACCTGTGCCGGGCAGAAGACAGAAAGGTAAGGTAGCTGTTTGCCACACAGTCTGGGACCACATTCTGGGCCCCATCCTGACACAAGATCTGCCATCCTCTGCAGGTGTGGACCAAAGTTGCCCCGGTGGTCATCTGCACCACAGCCAATCATATTGCCTAGAACTGTACCCCCTGGTCACAATAACTGCAAGGGAGTCTGGGAGATGTCGTCTAGCAGAGCACCTAGGTAGGTGAGGAGAATGCGGCCCTTGGTGAACTTCAGCAGGCACAGATGATTAGAGCAGAGAGATGTGAGAGGCGGGAAGTAAAGTCCAGGAGGTGGACTGGGGCAA